GGGAAGGGGGGTGTCCAGTGCCTTGCTCAAGGGCACCACGGAAGGGACAAGGAGGTGAACTGGGACCTCTTCAAGTAGCAGTCCACACTCCATATTTAGGTCTGTTCGGGGACTTGAACCGGCAACCCTCCAACTCACAGTCCAAGCCCCTACTGACTGTGCCACTGCCGGATTTGAGTGAATATGTAGTGTATCATGTTGGTGGTGTTATTTGTTAAAGTGACCCTATTGTGCTCACTTTAAGGTTTCATATATGTATTTAGTGGCTCTACTGTGACATGTTTCCATGCTTTAATGTTCTCATACTGCCTGTGTTGCAGCACCTCTTTTCACCCTCTGCCAATAGAAGCACGAGTGTGACAACCGCTTTTCCACTAGAACCTGTGGAAAAGCGCCATTTGATGTCACTATGTTTTGGAAGTAAATAAGGGAGTCCCATGGAGGCGTTTCAGGCAGGGGGGGCGGTGGGAGTGTGTGGGAGAGAAACTCCCTCTGGATGGAACACAGGGATTTTAGCCTATGCAGACCTTCAACATGCATTAAACCCTATATCACTCAACGGGAAAGGGAAACCCAAAAGCTTAATAGGGCTCCTTTAAATGTTGCTGTGTTTGTTCTGATTTATTACAGAAGGCCTCTCTGGATGACTCAGTACCTAGACACGCCCTGAATGAACTCACCAAGGTGGCCAGCTTTACAGCCACAACGATTCTAAAGATGGAGCGACTGTCCAGGAAACATAGACAAGCAGACAGTTCCTGGAAGCCAAAGCCCACAACAGAATGGCAGCGTTTGACAGACTGAAAAATAAATGATAAATTAGATGAGGATGTGATAAGCCACTGTTCGAAGCAGTGAAAGTGAAAAGTTGCAGGTCTACTTAATACTTACTTTTATTTCAGAATTGCTTGTAGCCTACTTTAGGCTACTGTATTTTATTTTGTATGTGTCTTATTTAATGAACCCCAGTAGGTTAGCAAATACAGTTTCTATAAAAACACTACATCTTTCTTGATTGATTATGTACATTTAGAGGTTGAAGACATTTCTTTACATATTTGTTATTCATAATCAGTCATAAACATGTTCCAGCAATGCACATAATAACATTAAAAGCATCTTCAAAATCTTTCACAAGAGAAAAAAAAGCAATTATGTTGTTGTAATGGTGAAATGTTATTTATTATACATTGTATAGTCCACTTAGGTTTCATAACGACACGGATATCATTTAGTTTGTGTAACAATCATTTAACAAAGGTAAGGAAACAGTTGGTAGATATTTTGTTGAATATTCTTCGATTCAGTCCTTTTTAAAAACGTTAGGTTTCATAATGTCTGGGAATTTCTCGGTCTCTTAATGTGTTCATTGCTAAAAATTAATAATTGTGTTTTAATAAAATAGCAGCTCTCCTTAGCGGAAAACCAGTGGCGGAATCCGTCTAACTTTACTGTGCTTTTTGTTTTGATCCAACGCACAAAGGGTCCCGGGTTGAAAACATGTTCAGCATTTATCGTTCCGCTTTCTAAAGCCTGCCGTAACAAGCTCTTCGACTGCAGAGGTTACTGGTAAATATTAATTTTGTGATTATCTAATTACGAGAAGGTTTCAAATGTAGAAAAAGTCATCCATTAAGAATACTGTATTATTATTTGTTAATATGATGTATGATGCTTATTATGTGTATACTTATTAATATATTTAATGTTTACTATCAGTCTTTATTTTTATAATGTAGTTCCGTTCATTTTTCTTTCAAACTAAAATACTTCATTTCCCATCGTGCACCTCGCAGGGCGGAGTGGGTTTTCTTCCTTGTCAAGATGGCGGCTCCTCTGACACTACTTTTGATTGTAGCTGTTACTATCCGTGCAGCCCTGTACAGATCCAGTTTAGCGGACCTAATTTCGGAAAGAGTGGAGGTGGTGTCTCCGCTGACAGCCTGGAAGAGAGGTAAGCGGGCTTTAGCGCCATTTTGAGGTGTAATTCTCTCGCTGAGACCCCGCTCTGGTAGCCTCCTCTCCTCGGCGCTGCTAGCTGGTGATTGAGTGAAGCCAGTAACCGGTTTAGCTACCAAGAAGCAGTATCTCCCGTTCATATTCAGAAACCCCTCTTAGACGGGAATATAAGAGCTTCCACTTTTTAATGGACATTCTTCATTATATTCACTGGTTCAAAGATGATGGTGCAAGAGATGAGAGGTGGAAAACCATCCTCATTTTAAAGTATACTTCACTCCAATATTTGCATTTTGAAAGGCTTCAACTGTCTGTCTGTAATATAGATCTTAAGAAACTACTGTAGATGTTGCTGTGTGTGCAATGTGCATTCATGAAAGCTGCCAGAAGCACCCCGTTTGTAATAAGATATTACATGCAACATTTATATTTTAAATAACAAAAGTGCTTTATTCATAGCACCTTACATACAGGGGTTTAGTTCAAAGTGCATACTAAATAAGTGCGATACCACCAAGCAATCAAGTGTACAACAGATTAAAAACAGGCAGCAAAAAGCAAGAGCAGGTTCATTAAAAGCAATAGAATATACAAAAATCTAATTGAAAATCAGGGCTCCAAATTATTAAAGGCCTCATTCTCATTTTAGCTATAGTAGCAGATTTCTTATTTGTGGTTTATCGGTGCATTGTTTTTAAAGATTAGGAGGAGAGCATCAGTCCTATCTACTTGAAATGAATGCATGTATACATTATTTGGCATCTTGTTAGTAAAGGAACAGCAGTACTTTAGCAATATTTCACAAAGGAAATATTGCACTAAAGAAACCTTCTTCATTATGGATCTGATAAAGATAATCAGATCAACAAACATGCAGCCTGGGAATATGGACTGTCTTGACTTGATGTGAGGAAGGGATTGCTTACATATTTTGGCATCTGTTTTGTTTATTTACATTTAAATGCACATATACGTATATCTATACATATCTAGCGTTTTGGCCTGTACAGCTGTTGTGGTCCCTTCATGAATAGTTTATTAGGCCTCTGTAACAGGATGTTGCATCACTGTAGAAGGGCTGTGCAGCTGAATCTATCAGAGAGAAGAGACCGTATGAGGAAAGTATCTTTTGGTGTGCTTTATTTCTCTGTTGTGTTTGTTTGCAGTTGTTGAAGGTTTGGCTCTGCTTGACTTGGGAGTCTCGCCGTACTCTGGAGATGTTTTCCATGAGGTGAGAGATACACACGTATACTTATTTATAAATTGGTTTACTTGTTTAATTGTATGCTCTTCAAAATGTAAGAAAATAGTAAAAATGTCCACCCTAGCCTGTGCTCTGTCCTAACTGTCCTTTTCTTTTCTCTTCAGACCCCACTCATTATTTACCTCTTTCACTTTTTGGTGGACTATGCAGAGATAACATTTATGGTGAGTGAAAAACAAATAATCTATTTTTTTCTCGGTAGCTTTATGTGTTTAAAAGCCAAGATCTAGGAAGGACGCGTATGGCGCAGTGGGTAGGGCATTGGTGTTCGGATCAAGGGGAGCACAGGTTCAGACCCCACTGCAGTCAACATGTCGTTGTGTCCCTGGGCAAGTCACTTCACCCCAAATTGCTCCTGTGGGGATTGGCCACAGTATTGAGTATGTAAGTCGCTTTGGATAAAAGCGTCTAACAAGCAACATGTAATGTCTATTTCGGACTCAGTATGAATATCAATGAACTCTCCTCTATTTCTATCTCTTTCGCTTTTTTGTTTGTGTAATTTCTTTTTTAGCAGTCAGCAATATATTTTAACTCAAACTGCTCTTTCTGCCTCAAATAATTTGAAAAGGAAAAACATGGGTAATTCTACCTTCGCCATGAAGGAGGTTATGTTTTGAGTCCATTTTGTCTGTGTCAGCAGGATTACAGAAAAATGCCTTGCTCAATTTCCATGAAACTTTGTGGAATCTTTCACATGGGCAAAGAAAAAACCCATTTGTTTTTTGGATATCTGTAAAACAGGCCCGATACTATTTAAGTTTCATTAATATTAACATTGTGAGATGAGGCATTTTTGCTGCTTTCATGTTGTGTTGGAATAACTTGTAAAACGAGTTCCTGAGTCTGCAAATGTATCCAAATTGTCCCTAAAGTCGACACAACAAAGATATTAATCGTTTAGTTTTTTTGAGCAATGAACGTAAGCACATTGTCTTAGCAGCGTCTACGTTATTTTCACTTTAAGACTTAGAGCTCATGAACACATCAGAATAATAAAAAAAAGAGTTAACGGGACAATCCAGGAAGCAAATGAATGCACCATTGGCCTTAATTCACAGCTGATCATTCTGTCTTTCTGCCTCTGCAGTTGGCAGATGTGATCACTGCTGTGGCTCTCTACCTGGCAGTGAAGGAGTACAACAAGCAAGTGGTAAGAAAACAGAAATGTCTTCAAAAATACATTAGAAAAATAATAAAGAATACAGAATTAATGTGAAATTAAATAAAAATAGTATGGTTTGTCAAAACTGATTTTATCTTCTGAATGTTATTCTTATTATGTATTTATTAAACAAGGACCATGTATGAAAATACATTAATCTCAAAAAGAGAAGAGAGGATTTGTGTCAGATGTAGCTATTAGCTTATATCCATCTTCAGTCCCTGACCAATGTGTAATTACTGATTTCAAAAACATTGTCAGCCCTGCTAATAACTAACACAGATATGTTACAAATATCATCTTGTTTCACTGCTACATGGCTTGTTATTTATGAATTGATCGTACTGAAACTTTGATATGCAGTATGTTGTTTGGTGTTTATGGGGTATTTTCTTTAACATATTTGATGCACTGTTTCAGTTCAGAAAGCAGAAATATGCCTTGGAGGCCGATCGCTATCCCCTCGACTGTCTGGAGCTCATCAGAAGCCCCAAAGAAATGTTCTACATCCCTCTGAAGGTCGCTATGTTGTAAGTACCACACACCAACTAACAAACTACACATCTACCGAAGCAGAAAACACCAGATATGTCAGATATCAGATTATGTCTGTAGAGGTGGTCACATGTCAGATCAGGTGGTTATGAAACAAGTTATTGTCATTGGTAAATTGTATTTATTTAAAGGATGCCCATTAGCTGAGGGAGCCAACCATGTTCAGCTCTGGAAGAAAATAAGAGACCACTGCAGCATTATTAGTTTATCTGTTTACTATTTATTGGTATAACTTAAAACATTTTAATTCTATTTTAGAAGCTACTGTCAACATGTCTCTGTGTTGGAATGCAACAGTCAGTGGAATGGAATGTCTGCCATACATATAGAGTTGAGATTTAAGAATGATTTTCTCCAGAACTTTATATACTATTAAGAAGAATACTAATGCACATGTGATGTTTAAAAGGATGATGAAGCAACATTCAAATATTAAACCGGCTACAGTTATCTCTCCTACCTTTCAGTCCGTCATCTAGATCAGTGGTTCCCAAACTTTTTGGGCCCAAGGCACACCAAAGGACAAGTAAAAATCTCAAGGCACACCTACCCTAAAATAGCCCTTATAACACGTGTTATCACTCATATCATGTAAAATATCTGTAAATGTGCATACTTATTTACTAATGGCAAATAAAATGTGACAAAGACAACTATATTACTCATG